CAAATCTTCTAATTGGTAAAGAGGCAAACGTAAATCGTGGGCTAACTGCTCCTGCATAAGGTTTAAGGGTTGAAAAAATTGCCGTTCTAAGGTTTTGCCCGGATGAACGGGTGGAAATTTAGTTGAATTAGTCATAATGCTATTATTTAATTAGTTTTTAGTGATAATCAACAATCTCTACTTCGTAAGCATTGCCACCTTGTCAGTAAAAGCAAACCCGATATTTAGTATTGCCAACTCAAAAGGCTCGTTGACCTTCGCGATCACCAACTAAATTATGTAAGTTTAAGCCAGGAATTTTATCTAATTGCTCTAATTCAGTAATGGCATCTAATAAACTTAAACTTTCTCAGGCTAGTTCGGCAATAGCCAACATTTTCTTGGTGGGTTGACGAGTTCAAATTCTTTTGGCTAGCTTTCCTTTTAGCGTTTTAATCACTTTTATTAATATTAATATTTTTTTACAATTATGCCAAATTTCTTAAAAAAAATAATCGGTTGACTAATTGCCTTTGCGGTAATAATTGGTTTAGCAATACTAGGGATACAGGCCTTTTTTTTGTGAAAAAACAGCAAAACCAACCAAGAAAGATTAGAAATTGAACACGGAGCTGAAGTAGAAGAAAGAAAAAAGAAACAACTAGAAAAAGACGAGCGAGAAAGGAAACTCCAAGAAGCCGAGTTAGATCGTTTATCCGGTCCTAATTGACGGGACAAAGGAAAGATATTAGATATCACCAAAATGGATCCACCATTAGGAATTAAAGGACTATCAACAGTTGGACCGGGCAATTTAGTTTATCCCGAAATAATTAAAAAACACTTTACTGCTATTTTAGAAGATATTGACGACTTAGTTAACACAGGCCAGGTCTATACTTATAAGGATGAAGAACAAGACAACTACTCTTCACGCTTTACTCGCCGCAATGCCATTCTTTATGGTATGGCGGGAACAGGAAAGTCAGAGTTTCCTCGTCAATTAGTTTTTGAAATTGCGGCTAAATATCAATCGGAAAATGAGAAAAAACTAAATGAGTACAATGAAGATTTAACCAAAAAGCAAGAACAACTAATCAATGACCCCGAAAGTGAACAATTAAAAACAGAAATTGAGGAACTAAAAGTCCTTATTCAAGATTGCGAACAACAACTAGCCCAAGAAGAAAGTAAATTAGTACCCGTTTTCCAAATTGATGGTTTTCATTTACAAACCGCCGGCAAAGCTATTAATGATAAAGGGCTCGAAAGCCATGAAAAATTAATTGCCATTCTAAGAGAATTAAAAAAAGAAGCCTTTGGCGATGCTTATTCGGATAAGCCTTATATTGCTTTTGTGGAAGAAGCCGACCAAGGAGTAAATGTGATGACAGCCGGTGGAGGTGGCAAGAAAAACAATCTCTTGGAAGATTGAAAAAATTTCTTATCGACCACCGAAGATGCGACTGGTTTAAAAAATAATGTCCAAGACCCTAATTCAGTTATTATCATTGCTACTAATAATTATGAGAATTTAGACCCTGCTCTTGTTCGTCGCGGAAGACTAGGAAAAAAACTTAATTTTTCTTGAACTCCTGAACTATTAAAGGAATATGGTGAAGCCGGTAATGGTAGTAATTGACCTCATATTGACTGACCTAATGACCCCGCCTGAGATTTTACCAACAGTCGTTATCGGGAAGAATTATATAAAATGACGACTAAATTTGGTTTTGCTATGTTTAGAAAGGAGTTTGCACCTCACGCAAATAAAATAATCCAATCCTGGCAAAATTTAGCCGAAAACAAACGCAAGAAAAAAGAAGCCGAACTAGGCACATTTAAAGATGAAAATGATAAGGAAATTTGCAATTGATTATTACATTATTTATTTACTTTTCATCAATATAATTCTAAACAAAACTTAAATGCTTTTACTAGTGCCGAACAAATCCAGCGTTATGACTTTGGAGTTGCCGCTAGAATGGAAGAAAATACTGCTGCTATTGCTAGTTTAATTAGCAAGGCCATTATTAACTTAGGACAAGGCATCACTGGCAAATTAAGCGAAATCCGCGGGGAAATGGTCGCTAATTTCCAAGAAATTTCTAACTTACGGACAGAAATAGATAATTTTCGCAACAATTTAAATGCCCTAGATAAAGATATTGAAAATTTCCGTCATGAGTTTACTCGCTTACAAGATAATGTCAAAAATTCAATTCAATTATCTAGTCAGCAAATAACTAGTCAAGTTAGTAGTCAGATAAATAGTTTACAGAGTCAGATTAGTCAATTAGCCAGTCGTCCAGTGGCTAGTTCTTCTAGTAGTGGTGGAGTTAACACCGATGACTATAATAATTTGGTTAAAAAAAACAATAAAAGAAGTGAAGTAGTCAGCAACTTTACTCGCAAAATGAATAGTTGTCTAAGTTCGAGTGGAAATGGGCAACAAATTTCCAAAATAGTTCAAGAATTTATTGATGAGTGAAATGCTAGTTTGTAATGTTAATTCTATTAATCAAGTGACAAAAATACAAATTTCCTTTAATACCACCACGGAACTTTTTTACCAGCCTTTTTTATTTCTTTAACTTTCTTTTGTCTTCAAATAAGATAAGGAATCAGAAAGATAACAAATATCACTCCCCCAACTATTCAAGGAAGATAAGATTTGTTATTAAGATTATTTCCTTGCAGAGTCCCATTTTTTCAAATTTGGATATTTTTGCTCTGGCAATACCAGCAGTTAGAATGAGGTTCTTTTTCTTTGTTAGTCTCATACTGACGGCTACAGTTAAGGCAATTTACGACATAATCAGAAGTATTTTGGCTTTTTTGTTGGGGTTTATTAACTGGCGAGTTAGTTGAAATTTGTTTTTGAATTTCTTTTAACTCCTCTTTAGCTTCTTGGTCAATATTGAGGCGATCAATATCAATTTGCTCACCTTTTTTAATTTTAGCTAAGGCTTTTAATTGTTCTTTATTTTCAGTGGAGATATTTAAATTATCCACATTTACTTCTTGGTTCTGAAAAATTTTATGAGCGGTATCTAGACAAATTTTTATTTCAGGATCACAAGTATCACACCATTTTTTGTCAGATTTTTGCGGAAAATAATGAGTATTGTCGCCATAGTTGAAGTTTTTTTTACAATTATAGCATTTGAAATTGCTTAGATTACTTTGATTTTGCGAAGAAGGATTGTTTAACGGGACCGAAGTGGGCGAAGGGTCAGAAGAGGAGGGGTCGTTATTTTTTGGATAGCAATTAGCACATCAATGTCTAGTTAATTCCTCTCCTGGCAAATAATAAGAAATTTCTGTACTAATATCTTTTTGACAGCCAGCGCAAGTGTTAAAAATTTTTTCAATTCGGCTTTTGTTGTTTCTTCCTCCACTTCTTTGATTATTGTTATTTTCTTCTTCGTTACTTTCATCATTACTTTTTTGTTTATCACAACGAGGACAATGATCATTTACGGGCTTAAAAAAATTTTCAAGAATAACTGTTCGGTTTTGAAGGGATTTATCATAACAAATTTGGCAAAATTCTTCACCGCGAGCTCTGGCTTCATCTTTTATTGTATCGAGGCAGAACTCACAAACTAATTCCTTTTCACTATAAGCATAACTAAAATTAACTCTTTTTATTGGACTATTGGGTCTCTTTCGAGGACAAAGAGAACAATTTCCTCAGCCGTGATATTTTGTCATTTCTGATATATATATATATATATATTGCTTATAATATTATTTTAGTTTTTTGGAGTAATTTCTATTTGGGTTTGGTATTGGAAACTGTCTAAGTTTTGTTCTAAATGACCACCAATTACCAGTTTTCTTTCCTCTTCCCCTCTTAACTTCTTCTCTGTTCCATCTAACAACTTCACTAAACCTAGGCGATGATAAACATCTCCTTCTCTTCTTGCTAGTATAGCAAAAGGTGTGCTACTTTTTCATTGCTCTTTGCTAGGCACAATTAAGATATCATTTCTTTCTACTATATCAAAAGTTTCTTCTGTTCCTAACAAGGTAATCATTTCAGAGTTATATTCCTTATTGTTTAATAATTTTACTCAAATATTTCCTTTATAGGAACCACTCTCTATCGAAAGGTCTTCATTAAATTTAGTTATATATTTGTTAACATCGCTTATATTGTATTTCGAACCAATTATTTCAATACCCTTGTCAGTAAATATTATACTTTCAGGTTTGCAACGAATATCTATTCCTCCTTCTACATTGGTTGAACCCCTTTCATCTATTTGGGGTATTCAACACAAACTTGGAGCTTTATTGCTTGATCCAAATCATGCTAGAGGTTCCCCATGACCATTTCTAATCGCTTCTTTCATTACATCTATCAGCACCTTTTCTGTATCCTCTTTAGTATAAGTAGGTCATTTCTTTGTTTCCTCTTCGTGTTGACACTCTTTCGCTTCAATTCTTTCACACTCACGACACATCATTTGCTTGTAATTAACTTTTACTTTGCTTCCATAAGGCAATAAACCAAGAATAGAATAAATACCATCTACCGGAATTGTTCTTCCGCGATTTTTGGTTAGCAACAATGCTTGGTCTAACCTTAGAGATGCCACATCATCATAGTCGTACTCGCCTTTATAATATACTCATCCAAGTGGGGTAGCAAGTTTTTCATTACCCTCACACTCCCTAAAACCATTATACTTGACAGGATCTATAAATGATGGTTGTTTAAGTGCTCACATTCTTGCCATAATTCTCCCATCCACTAGCAAATCATCAAATGCAAAAAGTGTTTGTTTTGGTAAAAATCCTTCTTGGAGAACCCAAGCCCTGCTAAATCATGAAGACTTGACTATCGTTTTTAATATATATTCTAGGTCAATTTTTATCTTTTTTTGAGAGTTGTCAAAGTCATAATCATAAAGTCTTTTATTAATCACTATTAGTGTTACTGCTGCATAACTGTAATATTGATTAATTTTAGGAACTTGTTGGTTTTTCTCCTCAGAATCATACATATTAATACAAAGTTGATCCATTCAAAGGTAGTCAATGCCAATTAACTGACAAGTCTCAATAGCTTTTTTTAAAGACTTGTAACCAGCAGGATTTAATTTGTTTATATATCCAACACTACTTTTTTCTCATAATTCTTTCATCCCACTTTCTTCACTATCTGATAATTCGTCAGGTTTACCTCAAACATAAGATAAATTTATATAACTTTTTATATTTGTTTTCCATTTTGTTTCTTCTATCTGATTGGTTTTTATATTGTAAAGTCTAGTAGGTAATTTATTAAGTTCTGCTAATTGCCTATTTTTTCATGAGAGAGGGGGGCGGTTATCAGGATGTACCTGTTGGTAACTTATTTTTTCAATTTCATAATTCTCTTCAATTAAATCTTCCTCCTTGTTATTGTAATTGTTTTCTTCCTTAATGTCAACTGAGTTATTTTTTAATCTTTTTATTTCCTCCTTTAATTGTTGAACTTCATTTTCTTTCTCGATTTGAAGTCCCTGCAACTCTTTTTGTAATTTTTCAAATTCCTCAACCAAACCTTGACTGTTGTCATTTATTTGTTTTTTGATTTCTTCTAATTTTTTCATAGGTATTTAGTTATAATTTAATTTTACTAAATAAAACATAATTAATAAACACTCATGAAAAATCAAGAAATCCTTAACAAAAACAATCTCCAAGAAGAAAAAATAATGTTAGCACCAAGTGTGCCAGTCCTAAGTCAAAAAAACAAAGATAAGCACCGAGAAGATTATGGAAGTGCTGACAAAATAAGATACAATGAAGTACTTCCTTACGATCATCCTCCTCTTGCGTGACTAACTAGTAAAAATGCAGTAATAACTTCAGACCAATTACCACTAAGGTTATACGATGTCCGTAAAAAAAGAACTAAAGAAATAAAAAAAAGAGTAAAAACAGAGGAAAACAAAGTAAATGAAGAAATAATAGAAAAAGGGGATAAAATGTATTCCATTCTTTCTTATGTGTGAGGAGGTGATGGAGACAAAAGCATAAAATGAAGCATTGAGAATGCCCAGAAAAAATTAAGTGCTGGTGGAAAGAAAACTCTAAATAAGGCCATTGAAGCATGCTTATTATTAGATATAGATTATTTTTGAATGGATCAATTATGTGTAGATCAAAGTGATACCAAAGAAGGTATTGCAGAAAGAAGTCGAGAAGTACCAAAAATGGGACAATACTATACTAATGCTGCTGTAACATTAATAGCAATCCAAACCAATCTTTTTGAAACCAGTAAACTAGAAAGCAGTTTAGAATTCAGTCCATTAATGGCACTAAGAAAAATACTTAATTCTCAATGATTTACTCGTTCTTGAACTTTCCAAGAAGGTTGGTTAAGTAAGCAAACTCTCTTCATGTTTGATGATATTTTAATAGATGGAAGGAGCATAGCACAAGTTTGAGCACTTTACCAACCACCTCGTGTTGGTTATGGTAGGTATAATAGTCCTGAAGAAACCAAGAAAGGTTCTAAAAAAATTGCTACTCCTATTGGTTGGGTATACTATAAGGAGGGTTATAATTCTGACGATAAAGTTAGCCTAACTTTAAGTCAAGCCTTAAGGGAAATAAAAGACCGTGGACGGGGAATTCCGGTAGATGGTATTTATTCTATTCTTGGTTTATTGCCATACGGTAGAAATGTCAAACCTAACTATAAACCTAAAGAATGTCTAGTTTGCTCTCCACAAGTAACAGAGGATGACTGTCAGCACGAAGAAGCTGAAAAAAATTGACCTACTTACACCAAAGAAAATGTAGAGGAAGCTTTATTTGACATCATGAAGGAAGCAATTAAAGATGGTTATGGTGAACCATTGGCATGGTTTGGACCTAGTTATGAATCTCCAAAGAGATGTTGAATGCCTAACATAATATTTAATACTGAAAAAGTAGATTGAAAAGAGAAACAAAAAAATGGTTCAACTAATGTAGAGGGAGGAATGAATATATGTTACAATGGAAATAAAGATGAGATTTTTACTACTGATGGCAATATTAAATTAAACTGTTCTAGATACATTATACATAATACTAGTAGCGATATATCTGAATTAGGAGAAGATACTTATTCTAAAGTAATTTCAATAAAATTACTTACTAAAGGAGAATATAGAAGCATAGACATTGAATTATTAGGAATTAGAGAAACTTTCCAGCAATTGAAAAAGAACTATATCTTAGCTGTGCCTAGTAAGCATGAATGAGAAAGTGAAGAACCATTTGCCTTACTAGTATCCAGGAGGGGTAACATTTATCATCGTTTAGGTTTAGTAAAACTATTAAATGAGGTTGAAGTTTTAAAAAATGGTGAAGAAAGTCAGATAATAATTGGTGGAGGGGATGTCAAAAATGAGGAATATCAGGTGCAAGTTGAAGTGTCAACAAACAAAAACTAACTCTTTAATTTACTTTGCTAGTGATGCAATTTTGACAGTAATAACCAATTTCTCCCTCTCACGTATAAGCTTTTTCATTTAAACCAATAAATTTACCGCAAGTACCACGACAAGTAAAAGTTTGGTTAATTCTTTGCTGTTGAAGATTATTTAATTTCTCTTCGGCTTGCTTTTTAGTGTTTTTGTAACTTTCTTTTTGCCCTTTGTCTTTATTTATCTTATCGTTAAATTTCCTCTCCTCGGCTTCGTATAATTCTTTTTCCTTTTGTTGACACTCTGGTTTTTGGCAGACTGCCCGAATGCCATGAATAGAGTTATCATCATAAGTATCAGGATAATAAACACCAATATTTCCTTCTTTACAGTGATAACAAGGAGAATGTTCTTTTTTACTCATGATAATTATTAATTATTTTTTCCACTCCAACTACAATAACCTTTCTTGATTAAACCATCCATGTTTTCCTTACTAACATACTGACCACATTTTTACAGTTATTTTTGATTTTGATTACCATTTTAATTTCCCTAAAATATCTAATATAAACTTTTATAATAAATGTATTTCAACAAAAAATAAAAAAACCATCCCAAGTAGTTGCATACTCGGGATAGTCAGGAAAAGGAGCAAATGTCAAGTAAACTCCTTAATGTATTTTACAAGTTTTTAGTAACTTGGCATTATTTCTTTTTCCTTAAAATTTGTTTATATTGTATTTGGTTAAACGATAACTAACCAGAAAAGGAAAAAATAAAAATGTCAAGAAAAAAATACTCTTTTGCCGAATTAGAAGGATTAATTAAGCAAGCCCGTCGCACCGGAAAAAAACCGGAAGTCCAAAAATGAAAAAAGGCTTATCGACACAAACTTAATACCTGAGCCCAGGCTTGAAAATTAGGTCAACAAAAACTGGCTGCTAAACAAAAAGCTCAGCGGGAAAAGAGAGAGTCCCACCAACGGATACAACGAGAAAAAGAGCAAAGTCGCATTCAACACAAAAAAAGGTTGGGAGAAATTTACGGTTACTTTCGCCAAGAACTAAATAAATTAGATCGCAGTAAGCACCCCGAATATTTTACTGCTCATTTAAGTTTAGACCCCGTAACTAAGAAAGGACTGCAAAGATTAAGCCGGAAACATCCCGACTATGATTTTTATGCTGAGTTTAAGAAAAATAAAAAGAATTTAGTTTACCAACTCAATAAAGGTGGGCGAGATTACTTATTAAAACAAACTACCCGAGCTTATCAGGAAGAAATAGCCGAACAAGCCAGTCAAATTCGCTACTGACAGGAGAAGGCGGGATTGACTAAAATACAAGGTAACGCTCTCATTAAAAAAGGACAAAAGGTTAAGTTCTTTTTTCCGGAAAAGGGCGAACATAAAGTTTTTTTTGGTAAAAAAAAGGAATTTAAGGAAATTTGGCAAGAAATTTTAACTAGTCAAGGCAGTATCCAAGACCGAGCCAGAGTTAGTGAGTTATCTAAACAACTTTACTTAAAAAGCCCTTGACGAATACGTGATCGATTTCTTATTCCTACTTCACAGCCTACCAAAGCTTTTGGTATGGGGGAAATTTGGAATAAGTATTGAAAAAAAAATACTGATTATCCTTTTTCTTATTCCCGAAAGCACTATTTACGAGCCATTGGGGAAATGTTAAGAAAAACCAAGCCTGAAGGCGAGCTGGTTTCTGATAATGAAATTGAGCTGGATAAATATGGCAAACCGAAATTTAAAGAAGGGCAGGTTATATCATTAAATAGCAATAAACCTGGACGCCGGTGGAGTGTTTCTAAAAATGTTCCCAGTTTGGAAAAGCAGGCAGAAAAAGAAGTTCATCTTAGAGCACAAGAGAGTTATATAAATGAGCATGGTACCGAATTAGAGAAAGATATATTTTTTAATCGTCGAAAAAATAATTTTTTATGTGTCATTGAGGCCATGGGATTTGACTGCCGAGCCAATCAAGGGACTAGTGAACCATGATGTTTTTTTTGTGTTCAATGAGGAAATCCTTATCACCCCCCAGTTTTACCGATTCATTGTCCCTGACGATACACCTTTAAAACCGGAATGTGTGGCACAGTCGAACATCGCGAAGCCAACAAACAATGACACTGATCTTTACAAGGGGAAAAAACTAACGTGGCTGGTAAGGATTGGGGCAGTTGTCATGTCGGTCGCTATGACCACAAGAAAAGATCCAAGCGTTAAAGTATATCATTATTTACTCTTGACATTATGTTATATTTGATTATTTTATAGTTATAACATTGCATTTATTAGAGTATAACATTTTAGATTTTGTTATATTTTTTTACTCTATTCTGAGCATACAATTTAATAAAACTATAATAAATGTATTAAAATATATTATATAAGTAAATAAATTATGGGAATGATATACTAAATTACACTAACTAATTATGAAAAGGAATTTTAAAAACTATGAAGGTGAATGTAATGGTTGAAATACAAAATCAGGTGAAAGATGTAATAAACCGATAACTGGTTCAGCAATTATTGGAACTGGTCGTTGTTGCTTAATCAAACAAAAAGATTTTGGTTGCCCTAACCATGGCAGTGGTGAGTTAGTAATCAAAAGTAGGTGAATAGGAGTTAGAAATTGTAAGCAATGCCCTAACGAAGGTTACGAACCCTCTACTTATGGCAAAGAGAAAAATATTAACCAAATTGTTTGAAAATTGGTGTAAAATTGTATATTAATCCCTAAATTATTAAATAAAACTATGAAAATAACTGAATTAATAAATAAAAATACCGAAGTAAAAAATATTTTAGAAGGAATTAAACGAGAAGAAAATAAAAGTATAAAAAAACACTGTCAATATTGTGCTGGTTTAGGAAGAAACATTTTAGTTAAATGGGATGAAATGACTAATGAAGAACAATGAGAAGAAGAAATAAATGACCCCGATTTTAATTGAGAGGATTACAAGGAAGAACTACAATTGCAATTAATTGAATTAAGCGAAAAATACCCAACTTATCAAGAGCAATTAAAAAATTTAGCCCGAGAATTGAACCAGGTCGAAGATCAAGGCGAAGGATGGAAAGAAGCTGACGAATTAAGTGATTAGAAAAAAAATAAATGGTAAATCAAAGAACTCATTTTTGGCTAGATTGAAATAAGCAATTAATTACTTCCAACAACCAAGCTCTTAATCCCTTGCCGTTAAGTGAAATAGGTAAATATCCAATTAATGTTTACTGTGACACCGATATTTTTCCTACTTTATTAATTAACCTCCAGGTACCCTCTTGTCCGCTTTCTGAAACCGAGTGCCAGCAGGTGAAGCATCCTCATTATGTTTTGCGAGACCACGAAATTACTATTGATAATGAAAGTAGGAAAATAAAAATTGGTGAAGCAATTATTCAAGAAAGACGGGGTGCCAGTGCAGATAATCCCGATAGCCGGGGCACGCAGGCTTTGAAATTACTTCATAAACTAGTGCCAGAATTTACTGCTGTTCATCCCAGCACCGATAAGAAATTATTTCAGGAATTGAGCAGATATAAAAACCCGCCCCGCTTTGAGGTTCTGCAAGAAGGAACCTTTGAGAATGTTTGCTATATTGACATCAAATCCTGCTACGCGAACATTATGCGAGATTATCCTTTACCATGTGGTCGACCCGAACATCTTAAAGATCCCCAATTAATCGAACAAAATTTACAAGAAGGAAAAGGCGGGTTTGTCAAGTTTTATTTGGAAAATTATGCTCTAATTAAAAACAATCAAATTCCTTTTATTCCCACCCGTGATTATTCTTATGAAGGAGGCAAAATAAAACCCGCTTTAAAAGGAAAAAAAAGACTATTATTGCATACTCGTTTATTTCAGACTTTTATTAAACATTACAAAATTAGAGGGAAAATAATTTATACTGACTTTTGAATATTTGAAGAAAAAAAAGGCTGTGCTAATAAATATTTAGATCATTGTGATCAGTTAAAAGAAAAAAAAGAAACGGAAAAAGAAGGTAAAATGTTGGCTAATACTTTATGGGGTGTTTTGGGTCCGAATGAATTTAACCATTATAGTTATCTACCTTGACATTTAGCGGTTAGTCAATTAGCTTTATTAAAAACTTATTACTTATACCGCCAATTCCTACCAGACAAGATATTAACTATTCGCAGTGATTGTATATTAGTTAAAGAAACTACTGAATTACCTCCTGAAATAGAAAAAAATAATCACCTATACAAAATAAAACTCTTTAAAAGACTAAAATTAAATAAAGAATTAGAAATCTTTGATTGTGAAACTGACACCTTATTAAAAAGTCCGAAATCAGGTTCGGCTCGTCAAGAGCGGGGGAAGAGGTTGCAACAAGAGAAAAATAATTAATATGGTAGCCAAAATAAAAACAACCATCACTGGTAAAAAGCAATTAGTGGAAAGAATTGCCCACAGCCTTAGCAAAAAAAGAATTAAACTTGCTAAATCGGATATCGAACAAGTCATTGAAGAACTATTACTAGAAACCAAAAAATCCCTAATCAAAGGTGAAGAAGTCCGTTTACTGGGTTATTTTTCTTTTAAAACTACTATCACTAAACCCCGTATCGCTATGAATTTACAAACTAAAAAGCCCATGAAAGTACCCGCCAAACAGGTTCCTAAGTGTAAATTTGCCGTAGGTTTAAAAAAAGAAGTCGCAAAAAAGTAAACCATTTTTTCTAAAATACATTTATTATATAATTATAAAGTACTAAAATAGATAATATATTAATATTAATGAATGAAAGAGAGCAAAAAAAAAAAAAAACATTGAACTAAATAATAATACCATGCCCACAACCTCCACCATCCCTTGTGATCGCTGTCAGCAAACCATCCAGCGCAAATGAAGTCCGGCCCAAGGACAATGAACTCTGCTCAATAGTGTCGCTTATTGAGCCGACATTAACGACCAAACGCCAGCGAAACTAATTAAAAAGTTCAAATACCATTATCTGTGTCGTTTTTGTTTAGTTAAATGATACGAGGAAGAACGAGAAGACTTCTTTGCCACCGTTCCCAAAGCTAAACGGGACTATTTTTACCGCTATCGTTATAATGGCTTTTTCAACAAAAACGATATTTTAATAAATAATAAACCTTATGAACCAAGAAAACAAGAATAAATTCACTTTCCCACCGGAAAGCGAAATAAAAAAAGTCTTACAAAGAGGTAGTAAACCAAATTTCCGCCGAGTCAATATCGGTCTAACTGCGAACGCTACCCCTGTGGAAAGAACCAAATATAATCTCTGTAAAACTATTTTGCGTTACAAGCATGATCAAAATTTGCGCACAGAAGACTTGGCGCAGCAATTAGGTCTCAGTTTAGTGAAAACCGAGTATATTTTATACAGCCATATTAATAAACTTACTTTTGAAGAATTATTGGGTTATACTAATAATCTCCATCTTCCTTGCCAAATAAAAATTAATCTTCCTTATGAGCGAGAAAAAGCTACTGCCAAAGCCTACTAATTTATATTTGGGAACTTGCCAGGTAACAATTAACCGCCAACAATTTACCAAATTAGAAATCAGTCCTTATTATCAAAAACACAACCAAGAATATATTGATGCCCTAGAAAGAAAAGGAATTAAATTAACTCCCAGCGAATTAGCCGAAAGTTTAATAACTAACGAACTAATCGAAAAAGTTTTAGTCCCGCAATTAGATGGTGAAGAAGTGGAGCCTGATGGTGACCAATATTATCAATATACTTATTATCACTTCGAACCAGTTTCTCGGGAAAATGGCAAAGCCTATCGTTTAGTTTGATGTGTCGCGGATGACGAACCCGCAGTCTTAGGAATTATGGACTGTTATCGCCGTAAGCAGTATGATAACACTTAACTATCTACCTATCAGTTAACTAACTAGTTAACCAGAATATAATAGCCAACTAAAAAAAGGCCGCAAAAAACAAATTCCTATTTAAATACTTATCCAGTTAGTTAACTAATAACCAAATAATTAACTCTTAAATAATCCTTGACAATTAATACTGCAAAAATAAACATACTGGAAAGCTTGATCGCGTTTATTCACTATTTATTGTGCTGCTTTTGGTAGCATTCGAGGGCTTTTTCCAATATTTCAGTCATTAATCTTTTTTCCTTTAAGGCTAATTCTTTTAATAATCAGTAAGTTTCCTCCTTGACTTTGAGATTTAATTGCTTGGTGCGACCGGTAATTCTTTTATCGCTGGGGGCTAGTTCGGGCACTTGAATATTTGGGCTGACTTCTTGGGGAATTTCCCCTAAACTTTTTTTCTTAATTTTGTTTCAGTCATTCCCATTTGCTTTGCTTTGGTTATTGGCTGGTTCTTGCTTCTTTTTTTCATCGCTATTTTTCTCCTCACTTAAATTCCAAAAATAACGTCAATCTCCGGACTGTTCCCACTGCATTTCCCAAGCCGCGGTGCTACTGACCGACATATCCCGAGTAAATTCATTAAATCTTTTCCGGACTTGGTGATTATGAGAGCGGCATAATTGTTTCTTTCAATTAAAAAGAGGTTTGTCGCAGGTAATTAGTTTTTTTTGTGTTCGGTCAATAAAAGAGCAAGTTTCGGACTCTTCATTAGTTATTTTTGTTTGGAACATATATATTTTATTTTTCTAGCGATAGTTATATACCGCTATATATCTATTTTATAAATATTTAAGGAGATAGTTAACTAATTCTTGGGTAAAGATTTGGCAAGTAATTTTCCCTCTAATTTTACTTCATTCTTGACTGGTAGCTTGTTGGTTAACTAATAACTAACTAACGCGCCAAGCCAAATTTGCCCATAAAACCAAATCTAGTTTTTATATATCAGCGTGGCGGTTGCCACGCAACTTAAAATAAGCGGTCTCTTTGGTCAATAGCATACGGAAAAGAAAAATATTTTTTAGGAGTGATGCCTTATGGCCTTGTAACGACGCGAAAAATATTTTTCTAATGTAGATGCTAAATAAAGGAGGGAATAAATAAAAATTGCTGTTAAAAATTTTTGGGAGCCGCAACAATTTCCTAAATTGTGGAGGCGTCTTAGTCCCTTGTTATCTTATTTATTTGATTTCTCTCGCATTTTTGTCTTCATTTTTTTTGGTCGAGTATAAATTTATAGGAGAACATTGTTTTGTTTGTTTTTTCCTTGCCTTGTTCTAAGTAAAGGAGGATAAAAGGTAATTTAATACTTCATCAAATAAGAAAGAAAGAAGTAAAGAAAGAACATAACCCCTCTAAAAGGGGTTATTGGTCTCTCTCACGCGCCTGCGTTAAAGCGTGCGTGTTGGGTTCCCCTAAGTATGAAGGGTTATTAGCCGATTGTGACCCCCAGCAAGGAACCAGTTATAATTGAAATAAGTTAAGAAAAGATGAAAAAATTGTTAGTCGAGTGTTTAACTCAGTCCGGGAAATTTGACCGTTAATTAACGATTATGACTTAACGATAATTGATGGACCCGCCCGCACTAGTAAAAGCACTTTGGAAATTGCTCAGCAAGCCGATTTAATTATTCAGCCGACCGGGCCGAGTGTGGATGATTGTGAACCGGCCGTGAAAGAATTTCATGCCTTAAAAGAAGCCGGAATTAGTAAGAAAAAATTATTATTTGTTCTGAACCATTTAACCACTGCTGGTGAAGAAAGTAATGCCCGTGAATATTTAACCCAAGCTGGTTATTTAGTGTTGAATACTGGTTTAATCGAAAAAGCCTCCTACCGCCACGCCCAAAACCAAGGACTAGCGATTACCGAAACAATTTACCCCAGTTTAAAAAAGCAAGCCCAAAAATTAATTGATGAAATAATTGACAAAATTTAAGAATATAACTAAATTATATTCTATCTCATAAAATCATAAATAACAGTAAAATGAATAAAAATAACAAGTGAAATAATATTAAAAATAGAAAATCAAAAACAACTATGTCGAACCCACCAACCGAAGCCAGTCGCAACCTCTCCCAAGCCGAAATTCCTTACGAACGAATGGATTTTCGTCATTTTCGCAACCGCAGTAATCGTACTGCTCTTTTTGCTTGTAAAATTGCCCCCGAATTAGACCAAACTATCCGTCGCCTCGCCCTCCAAGAAAATCGGATGATTGTGGAAATATTTGAAGAAGCCTTGGCTATTTATTTAAAAAATAAGGGTATAAGTGTAGATAATAATCCCACAAGAGAGAGAGAGAGAGAGCAAAATTGGAGCAAACCTGCGAAAAAATAAAGCAAGCACTGCTCAAAAATAATTTGGAAAGAAAAAGTTAGTAACAAATAATTTTTTTTATTTCTCACCATATGCACCCTTTATCTTTTTAAAAAAGAAAAAAATAGTTCATTTGATTATGAATCGTCACAAATTCTCTTCTTAATTGGTGGTGTGATTTTATTAGCAGTAGGTACTCTCTGAGTTACCAGTTCTTATTTGGCCTTGTTTGTCGTCCTCTTTACTTCTTTATTAATGCTTGCTATACTTAAAGACTAAAACTATCCTCTTTGGGTTCCAATTAAACTCCCGTCCAAAGACACCAAAAACTGTACTAATTCATAATCTTTTATCTTTTGGATTAAAGTGAGAAAATAAATAAAAATACTTCTCTATTAAGAGAAAACAAATTAACAAACGATCATGAAAAAACTAATATCTAATGTTGGGAAAATAATACTCGAATTAACTATTGCCTGCTGATTGACACTAACAATTATCGTGCTGATCAGTAGTCAATCAAACCAAGCCAAAAAGCCAACCACTAAAAAAAAGACCGAAACAACTAGCAATAAAAAAGAATGTTCTTATTGAACCAGACAAATACTGGGCCTAAAACCCGGTCCTTGCTGAAAATGTGGCGGTTGACATTGATTTTAAAACGGCACCGTAGCTCAGTTGGTGCGAGCGTCTGATTAAAAATCAGAAGGTCGACAGTTCGATTCTGTCCAGTGCCACCAATAATATATTAAAATATATTAAGAAAATATAAATATGACTAAAAAAGACCAACCAACCACCCGCAACATCTACACCAAACTGCAACTCATCCAGTCCGAAGTTAAAGAATTAATCCGCACTGAGGAAAATAAATTCCAAAAATATAAGTTCTTTAATGAATTGCAAGTCCTCAAATTATTACGACCTTTATTAAGTAAATACCAACTAACTATTTTATTAAGTGATGATATTAGTCAACCCTTTATTCATGAAAAAGATGGTAAAGAACATTACGTTAAATACTTAAAAAAGTTAGAGATAGTGGACACTGAAAACTCCGAGAATAGATTATTATTTAACTTTTGAGCCGCTGGTAGTAATGTCGACTTAGCTAAAGCCAAAGGTTCTAGTGAAACTTATGCAATTAAGTACATGCTCTCAAAGTTCTTTTTGATGCCAGTCAAGGATGAAGGGGACCCAGATTATCGGCAACGTGAGGAAATGCGCAGTTTTGTTAACGACCAAAAAAAAGAAACTTCCGCTACTGAGAAGACGGAACAATCCTTGACAGAATTGGCCAAGCAAACTAATCCCGCTGCTATTATTAGCATGCAACAGGTGGAAGACCTGACCAACTTATTACGCCAAAAAAATCAGGTGGATAAAGACAACCAAGCCAAATTTTTTACCGAGTTAGATGACAAGTTAGCTCAGCAAGGAGTGGACGGAGCCACCCAAGCTGGTAATTATAAAATGAGATTTAGTTTACTAAGTGGGGTCGATTATCAGTATTTATATAATTGGTTGTTGAACTTGCCAGAGAAATAAAAAAGTAAACTATGGGCTGAGTCAACAAAATAGGCCAAATAGTAGCTAAAATATTCCTGTTTTTGCCCTGTTTTTATACCTCCACCAATTATTTTACGGTACTGAAAGCCGAACAAAGAGGAAGTGTCGCCGGAATAGCCTTTTTAATTACCAGTTTAGTTTATTTTTTGCTCTGTTTGTATTTTTTGATTGTTAATTGAAAGAAATAATCTGTGATTATCTTCTTCTTAAATAAAAATGAGTTTTAAAAAGCCAATTATCACTCGCGCCAATTATCACAAAAAAAAGAAAAAAACTATGAAAGAAACCCAAATTAATTATTAATTATGACTAAAAACACCTGATTCGCTCTCATCTTTTTTATCTTTGTCCTGGGCGTGGCCCTCTGAAAGTTCTGAGCCTGACTAATTTGAAAAGCATTACGACTCCGCAAAAAAGAACAAGTCTTTGATCTCTTAGCCAAACACCGTTTTATTGAAATAACCGGATCATCTGGTAAAGGTAAATCCTGGTTCTTATCTCATTTATTCAAGCATTTACAAGGAGTTAAATTCACTAATTTTCCCACTCCCCAATCCACTTTTACTCTGAGCAAAGAAACCTTAGAAATTCATATTAGTGGTAAATGAGGTGCCCCCCATAAGTTTTATTACTTCTTAGATGACCTGGATACCTTTCAAAAATGAAGCAGTAAAGAATTTGGTGAAAATGGCTATTCCGCCTTACAAGATTATATTTCCCATGCCGGCAAACTTGGTGGCACTTTTATTTGAACTAGTAATGGTAGTGCCACTGAGCCAGTCTTCCAAACCAATAAAAACAAAATCTGAAAAGTCCTAACTTATATCACTTTTTTAGACAAATCCTTATTATTCGTGCAAGCCAATGATAGTTGATATAATGTTTTGCCCACTATTATCCCTATTGACAACAAAGAAATCTCCTCTTTTTATGACCCCCATTGAAATATCCCCAAAGATTACCAGCAGAATTGGTTAAAATATATCTTTGAAGAAAAACTCAAAGCGGAAGAAGCCGGCGAAATCTTGCGGGTAATCGGAGAAAGCGGCATGTCAACCAACGATGAAGACTGATTAAAGAGTATGAAATTTAATCGCAATCTTTTGCTGCAATACCTCCAAGAACGGAAAAAAGAAGAAAAAGTTGTACGAAAAAAAAGAGAAAGAATTAAAGATGTTAAGTCTAGTTTGAAAAAGTATGGACTGAATGATAAAAAAATAAGTGAGGAAGATTTAACCAAATGAGATAAAGAAGAAAAACGGAAGAAAAAAACTAAAGAAATCAAATTGTCAACCGAAGGATTAGAGATAGATTTGGATCAAGAACACCAAGAACCTAATTTAGAAAATGAAGAAAAGCAATCAACCAAGCAAAGAACAGTCAAAAAAAGGAAAAAGTAAGATCGATTATTTTGGACTACTCCAAACTTACAAATTCTTACTAATTATTCCTTTTTTACTCCTTTTTATCTTTTATCGCCCACAACCCACAGGATTTTTAGCCAACTTATTAGATAAACTTAAATTCCTGTTGGGAACTATCATCTGAGCCAGCTTAGGTGTTTTAGTAGGCGGTTTATTATTAGTTATTTTTCGTAATAAAGGCCAACTAATCCTAGATAATACTCCGGAATTCTTAGATTACTGCTCTAAAAGTAATGGTTTAGTCTTTTTTGGCTCGATTGGTTCCGGCAAAACAGCTATTTTAGCCATGTTAGCTCACGAGTTACCGGGTGAAAATAAATATGCTACTTTTCCTTGTAATCTACCGTGAGCCGAAAAATCCCAAATCGACTTCTCCCATTGTCCCAGTCAACGATTAGGAGTGACTGAAACCATCTTTTTAGATGAAATCAATCTCCTTTTTAAAGGCAATATTGTCCAAGATGTCCGGGAAAGACAAAGGTTCTTGATGCATTTTATCGCGTTAAGTCGCCATCAAGGTACTCGTTTATTTGTTAATGCCCAACGCTTAGGCCAAGTCAGTATTGAGCAACGAGAAGTAACGACTGCTATTTGTCAAGTCTCTCTTTTACAAAGAACGGATGAGGGTATTTATGTCCAGTGTGTCATTTGAGAAGCAGCCGCTTGAACTAATTCCAAAACCGAACAAGGATTTATTATTTTTGTCGGCAAAAAATACCTTGATACCTACAACAGCTACTGATTAAAGTCTTTAAAATATCTCAGACCAAAGCAAGGATATATTTAAGCAAAATTATATATATGAGTGTTTTTAATAGAATCACTACTATATAGCAACAATAAAAAATACTATGGTAAATATAAATCAATTACAAAAAATAGAAACAGAAAAACAATACTTAATTGAAATTATTCAAGAAAAGAATGATGAATTGGATAAATTAGAAGATCAATTAAGTGTGCTGGACTTCCATCAATCACGAGAGATATCAAGTTTAATTGAAAAAAAATCCAGTTTAGAAAAAGATATTAAAGAAAAAAAATCTCTTATCGAAGAACTAACAGTCGAAGCTGAAAGTTGGGAAGAGAAAGCTAATTGTCATTATGATTTTATCGGTCGTTGCGAAATCCTTTGTAAAGGTCAAAGAGAAGGACTAAGGGAAGAAATCAAAAATAAGTCAAATGAATTAAAGGAAAACTTAAAGTTACTGTCGGAAGTTAGGGAAGAGGTTGAAGAAGAAAAAATCAAAAGTAAAAATTTACGGCAAGAATTAGAAGAAGAGAGAAAGATATCAAAAGAAATTAGAGAGCAATTTGAAGAGATGAAGATAAAAAATTTGAGACTAGAAGAAGCACTCAAAAGTTTACCTAAAAGACAAAATAAAATTAAACAGTTTGGAACAAAAATAAAAACTAAGTTAACCAAGTTTCAACAATTAATAAGTAAAAATAATACACAAAAGCAGGAGTTGATTGCTAGAATAGAAGTCAAAACCAACTAATTTAATGAGAGAATTAATTCACACAATTTTAGAATTAGAAGAGTGAAATAAAAGAGCAACCTGTGATTTTTGCTCTGGTTTGAATAAAGCCGTCTGTCAAATCAGAACTCGGAACAAAAAAACTAGTGAAATGGTTACAAATGGGTGTATTTGTGAGATTTGCAAAGAAAAATTTGAAAATGATGAATTACCAAAATGTGATAGGTGCGGGAGATTAAAAATTGAATCAAATTTTGATACTCTTACCGGCAAATATAACTGCCGTTGCATTAAGTATGATGAAAATTTAGAGGAAAAAGAACTTCCTCTTTTACCTAATGAAGAAATAAGTCGGGCAGCATTCTATGAAAAACAAATAAACGCTTTACAAGAAAAGGAAAAAGAATTAACTGAGGAAGTAGAAACTCATTTGGAGGCCTTAGAAATCTCAGAGGACTGACACAAGCGACAAAAACAGGAGTTATTAGATAAAATAGCCAAACTGGAGCAGGAAAATAAATCTTATAAAGAAGAAGTTAAAAGACTAAAAGAAGAAAATAAAAAGTTAGTCCCTGAAGAATTGACCACCAAAATAAAACTTTATGAAAAAGAAATTACTGAACTAAAAAAACAAATGGAACAAACTGCTCAAATTGAAGTTCCTCCTAAGGACAAAGGTATTAAAAACTTTTTTAAATTTGGGTCAAAATAGTAAAAACTGAGTTTTCTAATTTGTCTTGACTTTATTTTCCAAAAATTCTTCTATCTCTTTAAAAGTTAAATCACACCCCAAATAATTTCTTCCTAATTCTTGGCAAATTTCTAACACAATAAAAGAACCAGCGCAAGTGTCAATAATTAAATCACCCTCATTAGTAGTTGCCAAAATTAACGCTTTAATTAACCCCCGTGGTTTTTGATGGGGGTGCTTGCGTTGGCTAGTTGGCAAACTACCCTCCTCCCACACGGTTCCAAAACTGCGATTAGTAAACTTTTTACCAGTCGTGGGATATTTTTGCAGCAAAAAACAAAACTCAGCATTACTTCTTAATCAAGTCCCTAATCCCAAAGTATTTTTCTTATA